TTTTTTTTTTGTCCGCATCCGGCCCGAACGGCCGAACGCATCCCCAAGGGGTCCCATACGTTTGGGCGTTCGGGTTCGGGCGTTCGGCCCGTCCCGAACGCCGGTTACCCTGTATATATATATATATATATCGTCAAACAGAACTGTCCGGTAAACCGTAGGCAGAGAGGGAGAAGAGGACAACAAACGAGGGGCTGTGACAGCACAAACTGTTTCGTCGGAATTATATACATCTATATATATATATATATATATATATATATATATATATATATATACAGGGTTACCTGACCGAACGTTCGGGCATTTGGGGTCCCGTACGGGAGCCGAACACCTCCAGGTTTGGCCCCCGCCAAAACAAATTTCGTGGTCTAAACATAAGTTTATTTTCTTAAATGTTTTTTTGTAAGTTCTTTATGATGTAACCTACACGCTTATAAATTTTGAAGTCATTCTGCTAAGCCAAACAAACATTAAAAATCGTCAAAGATGGGGGTTTCAAAACGTGCTCGCCCACTCACTATTTTGTTTTTTTTTCACTTTTAACTTTTTGTTTTCACTTTATTTCGGGGCCTAAAACTTTTTATTATTTTTTGAAAAATGATTAATGAGTTATTGATTATGTAAACTACATATCTGTAAATTTTCAGGGCAGTTGTCAAAGGTAAAAAATAATTAAAAATCGACAAAGATGGCGATGTCGAAAAGGTGCTGGCACACTCACTCATTTTAATTTTCTTTTTGTTTTTTCTTATTTTTATCATAGGTTTTATTTTCTGTATTTGATTTTTAATTCAAATTTGGTAAAAAATTTGGATGTAGTGCCTGGGTAAATGTTGTTAAGTTTATTTTTCTCGATAACATAGTTGTTTTTCGGAATTTTTTAAAAACTTTGTGTTTTTTTTTTTTTTGCTCCGCGTTCGGCCCGAACGGCCGAACGCCTTTCGAAGGGGTCCCGTACGTTCAGGCGTTCAGCCCATCCCGAACGCCGGCAACCCTGTATATATATATATCGGTAAAACTCCGACGAAACAGTTTGTCACAGCCCCTCGTTTGTTGTCCTCTTCTCTCTCTCTGCCTATGGTTTACCGGACAGTTCTATTTGTGACGATATATATATATATATATATATACAGGGTCGCCAACGCGTACATACGGAGGTCCCCGGGCAGACCTCCGTACGTACGGGCGTTAAGGGTCCTTACGGGGTCCGAACCCGACAGCGTTCGGCCCCCGCCGAAAATTGTTTCGGAGCCTAAAAATAATTATTGTTTTCTAAATGTTTTTTTATGAGTTCTCTATGATGTGAGGTACATGCTTGTAAATTTTCAAGTCATTTGGCTAAGCCAAATAAGAATAAAAAATCAACAAAGATGGTGGTGTCAAAACGTGCTCGCCCACCTATTTTTTCACTTTTTACTTCTTGCTTTCACTATAGTTCGCGGTCAAAATAATTTTATTATTTTTTTAAACTTTTTTAGTGGGTTTTGTATTATATGAAGTACACATTTGTAAATTTTCAGGGCATTTAACTATGCCAAAAAAAAATAAAAATCGTCAAAGATGGCAGTGTCGAAAACATCCTCGCGCACTCACTAAATTTAATTCTCTTTTTATTTTTATTTAATTTTATTATTAGTATTTGTTTTCTATATTTTATTTTTATTTCGAATTTGGTAACGAATTCGGATGTAATGCTCGGGCAAATCTTGTTTAATTTATTTTTTTCCATAACATATTTTTTTTTCGGATGTTTTTGATGACTTTTTTTTTTTTTTTTT